GGGGGGGGGGGGGGGGGGGGGGACCTGAGCATACACCTAAAAGCATCAAAATGTGAACAGATACTCAAATGATGAAGTACCTGAAGATGGAGGCAAGAAATGGCAATGAACTGGCCTTCTCTGTCCGGGAAACACTGCGGCAGCTGGTGTGGAAACTTGAGACTTGTTGTTGTGGTGTCTATAATGTCAACGCTGGGACAGTATGGGGTCTTGAATGAATAATGGATGGACATGTCAATCAACGGATGAATAGTAATATCCAGAAGGGGGAGATGGCTGCTGTAGATCAATGAATTTGGGGCTCTGGAAGACACGCCCCCACTGCCTTCCCTGTGTCTCTCAGCGTCTGCCTTCCCTAGGGAGACAGCTGGCAGCTAGAGAAGAGATCCGAGGATATTGAGACTTTAAGAAACCATACATTTTAGAGAACATTTCCCAGCTAGATTCCCTTGGGCAGTTGGACTTGTTTACTCCTGTGACCCAGTCTCCGGTGAGACCCGCTTTTCCTGTGTAGATGTTTTTCCATCTGGAGAATGAATGCCACCTTGACTGTCCTCCTCCTTCCCCTCTCCCTGCTCTAATAATAATATCCTTAATGATTCAGACCGTGTCATGCACTACTTTTCGTGTCTAGTTTGCTGAATATTGAAATGTCAAGTACATATGGAAGAATGAATCAATTAATGGAATTAATGAGCGCGTGTCAAGGCTTAAGGAAAAAGACATTAACTGCATGGTTTAAGGACAAAAATAAAAAAGAAAGCAACATCACTCTTTGTGTCTAAGTCCCCAGCCCGGGAGTCCCCATCCTTCTCTGTAATGAACCCACGGTGGTACACAAGCACCTGCACCCTGTACATAAACCCACAGCTGCTGTGTGTCCTGCCCGCTCGTCACTTGCTGCGCTCGCTCAAGACGTGCAGGTAGTTCAGCTCTTTGTGCTGCATTGTCTCTTCCCAAGGGAGTGATTTTAGCCACGCTGAACCCTAAGCAGCTGATTCAAGGCTGGAAACACATTCTGATGCCAACACGGACAACAGGGTGCGTGTCAGACAAGGTCAGGCTCGGGAAATATGGTACATGGAGGGGAGGGGGTGGCCCTGGGCCTCACATTAGCCTCCAGGGACTCTATATGGCAATAAATGGATAAACAGCATAAAAGAGACACCTTTCTGCTCTATGCCTTCCCCACCCCCACCCCCGACCTTTGAGAGGTTTTCAATAGTTAGGAGAGCCTTTAGCATGGGGTGTGGGACTCGGTGCCTTGGCCAAAGAATTTGCCTTGAGGCTCACAAGAGCTTCCAAGTATGTATGATACATTTTTATGATTTACATTGAGAGTCAGGTTACAGAAGGTTAGCAAGAAAGTCTATGGGGAGGGGGGCGGGTCCTCAGGCTCCGGGAGGCAGCCCCAGGGTGGCCCAGGTGGGCGCCTGTTGAGAACAAGACATCCCATCCGAGGAGCCCATGATTACCTTTCTGTTCTACTTCACTGTCTTGAATGGAAGCGGCTCACTCCTCTTTCACCAGAGCGGAGAAGGCTGCATCTGACGCCGAACACACAGTGAAGAAGGGACGAGGAGCCACTAGATGGCAGCAGAGGGTAAGGAATGTGAGTTCCGGGCAGCCTCCTGGAGAGAAGGGCTTGCAGCCCTCCATTTTGCTTTGCATCTTTAATGAGATATGTGAGGAAAATGAGTCCCTTACATGCCAGCTACAGATGCCACAGCATATGGGGAGATGCCGCACAGCAATCTTTCTCTGTTTATTAAACAGGAGGCAGCTAACCAGTCACCCACTGCATCCTGGCGCAGTTGGCCTTAAAGTCACCGGATACTGGCCGGGCGGTGGTGGCGCACGCCTTTAATCCCAGCACTTGGGAGGCAGAGGCAGGCGGATCTCTGTGAGTTCGAGGCCAGCCTGGGCTACCAAGTGAGTTCCAGGAAAGGCGCAAAGCTACACAGAGAAACCCTGTCTCGAAAAAACCAAAAAAAAAAAAAGAAAAAGTCACCGGATACTATTTGTTGACAAGGTAGTAACAAGAGATAGGGCTTAAGAAGAATGACACAGAGGTGTGGACTTCACGATTAAAGGTCACCACCAAGCTGAGGTGCAGGGCAAATAGCTAGCAAAAGATGAGAGACCCTTGAGAGCCACTTGGAGAGGGCCCTGTGTAGCTTTCTGCGGCCACATTCTTCCCCTGGGGCGCCTGCTGCTCTCTCGTCTCCTTGGCAGACCTTGGGGCCTCATTTATCCAGAACCCCTATTACCGCTAGACAAGCCCCGTGGTCTGACCTTTAATCCACAAGGCCCAAATGGGAGAGGGAGCTCTGGGCATTTTAAAGAGCAAACCACACTTGCTGTTGTAGCAGGACTGAAAAGATATGGCATGACCAGAATGCATTAGGATGCACCTGGATCTGGAGCATGCTTTCTAAGCTGCCCAGAAGGAAAGCAGGGGCCCAGTCCGGCTGACTGTAGAAAGGGCTCAGCCTGGACCCCAGCTGTGTAGTATACCCCAGATTTGAAGCTGGCCAGCTTGGTGCCTTCATTCCTGTATTGTACCCGCTTTCTTTGCACCCTCTCCTCACTATAACAATCCCCTGTTGAATTCTCATAATGCAGGAGATTCGAAAGCCCTGGGTGGTTGTTGTGAACAGGATCCTTCTCTGGCCTGTTGAGAAACTGGACGGTTCTCCATTAACCACAAAGCCCACAGTTCCCAAGACTTCTCAGAGTCAATTCCACACAGAGAAACTAAGGTGCAGAATGGAGAAACAGTTTCATCTTTCCTGGTCCTCATCCCTTTCCTATATTCAGTCCTCCGTGGACACCAAGGTGCCCTGCCACCATTTGCTTTCCCTCTTAGAATGACTTCATATGCCAGAAACTCTTGCCAGTCTGTGTGACCTGAAACAATTATGCTTCCTGCCTGTGCCTCGTTCGTGATGTGTAACTCGAGGTCCTGGAATTAGATGATGACTAATCCCTCTTCCAGTTCTACCATCCTGCAGCTTTTCTTTACCACGCTTCTGTCACCACTCAAAGAACGGCACACAGGACACTGTTTCCAGCAATAGACAAACGCCACAGGAACAAGCAAAAAGTATCCTCCAGCGGAGAAGAATTGTGGCCGTGGCTGGAGTCTTGTTGACACTCTTTGTCCTCTGCGTGAAGCAAAGTGGGAGGCTTCAGATGTCATTGACACCAACATCAGGGCCTGGAGGTGGTCACTCCCCTGGGGAAGGAACCTGCAGAGCTGTCCCTGTGGGTGCTGGAGATGCCTAGTCCAAGATGGAGGGTGTTTTAATAACTATTTCTCAAATTTTAAAAGAACCTTTTATACCCAGCATGGGGGCTTGGGGGGGGGCAAATCAGGTCTCCTAGGAGGGCTCTACTCTCACCCATAATGGGAGATTGGTTTAGCTCAGCTGCTCCTACAAAGGGCTGAATGCAGCAAGCAGCCGTACAGGCAGCTCCCCACAGCTCCATGTGAAAATGACTCACAGCGGTGATGAATATCAAGCCTCCTTTGATGTGTTCCCAGACATGAGGAACAGCCAGGGAGAGGAGGTAGGCTCTGGATGCCTGCTCTGTGGGGTGGTGCACAGAGGCCTGAACACATCTGGCACTACCATCCAGAAACTCCAGGAGAAATTCAGGCTGGGTAATTACCTAGGATAACATAGCTCCCTTTCATCATTGTGTGCTCTCTCTCTCTCTCCCTCTCTCTCCCTCTGTCTCTCTCTCTCTCTCTCTCTCTCTCTCTCTCTCTCTCTCTCTCTCTCTCTCACACACACACACACACACACACACACACACACACACACACAGTAGGGGAATTAGATTCTCCTAGAAACTGCAACCTGTTTCTATATCTTCACCTTTCCCGGGGGGCGGGGGGGAGGATAACAATTCACATCCGTGAATAAAAGTTGTTTTACTGAGCACAAAATGAATGCACTGCCTTACCCAGCATCTGTACCAATTGCTGTAAAGCCATAGACCCTGCCCCAGTCAGCCAAGCGGAAGGACTTTCCTCTGTAACGGCCATTTCTAGACTCTTAACCTTTCAAGTGGCTGCATGGTACCTTGTTTTTCTAATAGGCTCTCAATGGTGATTGAGTGCAACACCCTCAAGTCTTTCCTCTGTTGGCAGCTCATACAGCTCGGTGAATCACAGTTATCTGTGGCAGAAGACAGAGTTGTGGCCACAGCATCCTGGCTTGTAGCAAAGGCATGAGTGAGCCACTACCACTTCATGTCTCTTTCTGGGGAGAGTGTATGCGTATGCCAGGGTTTCTCCTGTCTAAAACCAGGTTCAATAGCATCTAGTCCCTGGAAAGTTTGGGAAAGTCTTTAGAGCTTAGAAGCAAATATTACTGTGTTCTAGTAGATGGTGCCACCCGTGCACATATTGGCAGAACTAAGTGGATTCAGTGAGTATTTCTAAGAGAGACAGAGATTATAGATAGATTAGATAGATAGATAGATAGATAGATAGATAGATAGATAGATAGATAGATAGATAGATAGAT